ACCAAAACAACAAAACAGTTTCGAAAACATGCCAATGGTTTCGAAATGCGCTTTCACCATGTCAAAACAAACTAGGAACGTTTTGGGAGGTCACAGTGAGCGCTTGTGGCGTCAGCTGCACTTGGCACGTGCAGGCATGGTGTGTCCAGGCAAGCATTCTCCAGATTTTTACAACAGTGATTTTAAGGTTGAAACCGGTCGTTTTCGTCCTGAACATGTTTGTGTCTATTTCGGACACATGAAGTCCATATCAACGTCATTCAGCCAGATAGATTCTATTGGGGAATGTTGAGATACTTTTGATCCTCAAGAGGTTTGACATAGAGCCGTTTCATCAGGTAGAGGCTGGAGGCTCAGGAGAGATCTGACACTTTCAACAGAAAAGAAGGTGTACAGTCAGATTCTGCTTGTTAAAAGTGCAGATGCCTGACATATTCGACTTTTTCTCTGGAAAGAGTATTCCAGCATTCTGCAGTTACTACGAGGCTGGCACGACAAAAGTTTGGACAGCTCGAAAAGTCTGCTTTGGCGGGAGTGATCGGAAGATCCCGGCTTGCGTAGCAGCATGAGGTGAAGAGGACGTCCGGGTGGTCCCGCGTAGTAGATTATGTGGAACTCGCACAGGCGTTGATGGGGCGAATCGGAGTCCATCTCGGTCAGCTTGGCACGGGTTTCCTTGGAAACCAGCAGCCAGAGAGACCCGCGATCAGCTGGCCATGGACGGACTAGCATAGTCCGGTGGGAGCTCATAGTTTAGCCGATCAAATCAAGACTGGTTCCAACGCTCCAAGTCAAAGGATGTGATGTTGTGGCACCTGCAGTCGAGCCCGTGAACGCGCTCTTCCTCGCCGGCGACTTGGTCGTTTCCGAGCTCCTCAGCTCTTCGTGATGCCGGTTTCCTTTGGGTTAACCCAGTCTTCGTGGAGCTGATCGTGATCGCGTCTAAGCTCTACCGCTTCTCCTTGTGGGTGCTTGTCTGGGCTTTTCAGCATGATCATTAAGAGCCCTTCCAGGAGCTGGTTATGGTCTGTCCTCGTCCCTCGTCAAGCAGATGACCCCAGAATCTCGGAATTTGCGACGCGCGTGGAAGGCGGGTGCACTTCTACGACCTTGATGCCTGTCAGTTCGGTGGCAGCAAGAAGCGGACTCGCTTCTTCCATTGATTTATCACATCTTGCGCGAGACTGTGACGGACTCCAGCATCTACCTTGGTCTTTTCAGCAGGACGGGGATCGGTTGCAATTTGCCACGGCCGAGGAGGCCCAGTGTCCGAGGGGCTTGTGTTGTGAGTGCCTCGTCTTCCAGGCTCGCTTGACTTGACGTCTTCAAATTATTGTGAATGGAGGCCAGACCTCTCCCCTCCTTTCGCGTCTGGACCAGGATCCAGAGTGTCTCCGTTGATTCTCCAGTTTCGGCAGTTTGCGGAGGTCGCTCCTAAAGTGACCAGTTCAAGACCCTGGTCTGGCCTCTTCTTATGGGGAAAGGTCACCAGCCCAGGTCCTCAGGTGGGACCCCGGTAGAATTCTTGAACAGGCCAAAACAGTTGTGCGTCCCATGAACTCTGAGCAATCGCTGAGCGACCTGCTCAAGGATGTCCTGTTTGACAAGCTCGCAAGACCCTCTTGACCTCGCCAAAGCAAGGATACAGGCAGTCATCACTGTCAAGCAGTTGGCGTAGGAGCTCGAGACCAAGGAACAGTTCAAGGCAGGACTGGATCCGGTCGCAGCCAAGGTCCTCAAGCCTAGAATCTGTTGATGGCGGCGAACCACGACGACCTCGACAGCGTCGACTTGGTCTCCAAGGGTATCCCGCTCACGGGCTCCCATGGCAAGGTCCCCGCTCTGCCTGAGAAGATAGTGTCCACGGACTCACATGAGGCATTGCTTGCGTCGGCCAAACTTAGGCGAAGGGCGATTCTTGCTAGGAGAAGACCCGCCGGAGAAGGAGCAGTGGACCTTCAGGAGGCCTCGGACGCCGAGGTTCTCAGGGGGGAAGCTGAGAGACCGTTCACCGAGCAGCAAATCATTTTGGCTCAGACGACGGGCTCTTGAATCCGAGGTTCGCTCTTTGCTAAGGAGTCAGCTTGAAGCTGAGGGTGATAGACGACGCCAAGCAGTCAGGCCTCAACAACGTGTTTCAGAGAACGTGTGAGGCATCGCTCATGGATCTCGATGCTCTCACGTGTGTCATGGCTACCAGAGCTACCGTCGCTAAGGCAATGCATGATGGCAATTAACCAAGAATCGCCATTGAATGAAGACGTTAGGCTGGGTCAGTGGCTGGGACGCACGCTTGACCTCACTCGTGTGTACAAACAGCTTGCCATCGATGAGCGCAGCAGGAAGGTTTGCGTGCTCGGCTTCAAGGGGGGATCCGAGTGGATCTACTACCGAAGCCTCGTTCTTCCATTCGGAGCCAGGGCATCGAATGCAACTGATGTGCAGACTGGCTGCGGCTGCGGCTACTCAATGGCTGTAGCGCTTCTTGCGAAAGGTAGAGTGTTGAGAAATATGCCGTAGCCGGAGTTGCACAGGTTTGTTCCTGAGATTCGCACGACGTTTGGGATTGTTCAGTATGATAAGGAGAACTCTCTGAAGTCGATTGCCAAAGATGTGTGCAAGACTGTCGGAAGATTGTCGACGCGTGCAGCGCCGACTGGACACTCCCAGAGCCAGGGAAGTGTCGGGAATGCCCAGAGAACTCTCCATGGGCAACTAAGGAGGGACACTAATGGCTCAAGTTGAGGCGTCGACTGGGTTGAAGTTGTCGTCGGAGTTGCCAATTTTCACTTGGGCTGTGAAGCGTGCACAATGGTTGATCAAGCGTTACATGATTGGATCTGATGGCAAGACTGTCTACAATCGGAGGTGGTCCCGTGATTACGGTGGATCACTGTGCATGTTTGGTGAGTGGATTTATGCAAAGCTCCCGCGCAGCACGGAAGTGAAAGTTCCCAAAGGAGGATCTCAATGGTTCTCCGACGTGTACCTTGGTAAGGACACTGAAGCTGATGAGGTTATCCTTTGGGATGCGAATGGCGTCTTCAAGGTGAGGACTGTGAAGAGGAGACCGGCAAGGAGATGGAGTGGTTTCTGCCGCGTTTGTATAATGCGGCCTGATCTTGGAGTGAAAAGTAGAGTGAAGCAACTTCCTGGATTGGAATGTGTCGATGAAGATGATGAAGTTAATGACCTGCTTGAAGACATGGTTCCTGCTCAGAGTGACAGTGTTAAACGCAAGAGCTTCTTGAGAAGGTTGGCGCTGATCGTGCGCCGACTGCGATTGAGCACGAGACTCCGGAGTCTAGCGATGAAGCCCCACGGAAGAGTGCCAGGATTGTTCCTGGTGCTCCATTGAGTGCGCCATCAAATAAGCAAATGAGGATGTCTGCCGTTCATCACATAAGTGCAGGAGTGATCCCTGCTTGTAAATGGCTTGCTTCGATTGTTGGAGGTGACAAGGTCGTTGGAAAGGATGGTACGAGGATTGATGTCGAAGTAATGCCGAGGAAGGAGAACTCTGCCAAGAAATGCGACTCTTCGAGCAGAAACGAAGGGAATCATGATGAAGGAGATGACCCAACGAGAAACTTCGACGTGTGTGATGAGGTGCAGATTGAGGACTGCGCCCAGGAGCAGTTTGATGATGCCCTTGACGAAAATGAGAAGAGTGAAGAGGAAAACTTGTTTGCATCGACGCCCTTGTTTGTCACAGTCAGACTGTTGCTTTGCGTGGCAATGGCAAACTGCCTTCTTGCATGAGCGAGGACAAAGAGAGAGACAGAGAGCAAAACTCCACTACACAATATACACAATCACGAGCAACCTAGCTCAATTTGTTTCCCCAATCAACAACACAGTCAAATAAGCATTCCTTTGTGCGACCAAGCCAGTCCTTGAGCAGTCTTGAGCCAAAGCCATTCGGCATCGCACCATTCATACATGGATCGTGACCATTCGGGGGTAGATTGGGCTCCTGTCAATTAACACAGTCCTTTGCACCTGACTTCAGTCGACGATCATTCCAACATTTATCCAATACACAACTACACGGCGGCATTCGCGAAGCGATCAGGAAACACTCGAAACAACAACAGTCGGCTACCTCAGGCTCTATTGGACTCATTCTGGGCTTTTGGCTCGACTGGGTCGACATTCATGCCATTGCAAAAGGTGGAGGCCTGATGGACTGTACAATGCATTCGCAGGCAGTCGGGTTCAGATCCATTCGAAATTGAACCCGAGAACTTCAGTCTCTGCTATCCACAGAACACATCCATTCAAAATTTAAATCACGACTTCGCTTCACCAAAACACGCGGCATTCGCTAAGCCGCTGCCGCCACGGCACTCCCAAACACACTGCAGGCTCGTTCGCGATTCGCGGCCTCACGTCATGCCTTTGGCGTCCATGCACAGGACGATCTCGGCGCCAGGATGCAGAGCCTTCGCGACCTGGGCGATGACAGTCGCGGGAATTGCGGGCGCGAGCCTCGGATCCTGCACATCCAGGGCCAGTCGCCGGCCCATTCCACGCATTCTTGTTGTCATCATCTTCATTCTTCTCACACAGCTCATCTCAGGTGGAACAATCGTGCTCCAGTCCACCACCATAGCATTGCACCAGTGTCACCACTATGTGTCCCTCCGATCGCCACTCCACAAGTCCTGCGCCGGGTAGTGTGGCTCGGTAGCTCCATTCGATGCCTTGCCGAAGCGGGTTGCTATCGATTCGCCAGCAGTCGAGTCTGCGCGGGCAGTCACACTGACTTTCTTCGCCAGCTTTGCTTCAAGCAACGTTGACCGAAGGAACAGTGCCTCAGACACTCATTGGCCAATCGCACACAACTTTGCTTCTCCCGACGACAAGCGCTCACCATGTTGCACCCGAGAACGTTCACAGTGCTCTTCCTGGTGTTCGAGCATCCAGCTCAGTCACAATTTACAAAGACATTCACCTCCAAAGCACAGTTGCCATCAGGCAACTGGTCAGTTTCTTTAAGCAACAATTTCTCAACTGTTTGAAACATGAACGACTTCCGCACTTCGTCCGTCAGTCCCTACGACCAATAGATCATCGACATACGCAAGCGCGTACAGTTTGCCAGATTCATGGCAATATAGATTCGGATCACTTTTACATAGGTCTTACATCACATCCCAATTTCGAGGTCATTACCTCGGCGAAATGCTCCTGCAACAGTTTGGGCCTTTGTCGAAGGCCGTACATTGCTTTCATCAGTTCCCAGAGGCATTTGCCGTCTGGGTAAAATTCTTTCGGCGACCACTTTCACCGGACATTACTGCTCTCCATTTCTGCTGCAGCGATTTCGGACTCCCGAATCAGCCCCCTCCGAAGTCGCGGCCCTTATCCTTGTACATCGCCAACATGGGATTGGACTCCATCGACGAGTCGAAGGCGGGGTACGGAGTTTTGGCACTTGCACAAAGTCAGCGTCGGATATTCAGAAATGCTGCTTGAAGTATGTTGTGCTCTTGCGGCAGGTGACCGTCTACGGCGCCTGCTTTTGCGCTCTGCTTGCAGTTAAACTGCTACTGCTACAACAGGATCGGGTTTGCCTTCGATCAGTCTAGCCATCGATTGTCAGATTCATGACGCGCATCACCTGATGCCGTGACCGTGCCGCCGTAACTTTGATCTGAGGGGTCGGTATCACGGATTTGTGAGGACTACTGTTGGGAGGGAGTAGGGTTTTGCGGATGCCATCGTAAGCCAGCCTCCTACCAGAAGCAACAGAAAAGAAAACGGCGAGGGGCAAACCCAAAACTTTGTTGAAGTTCTGAACTCTATTCTACGATGAAAACTCGCTTGTGGAATTCGGACGCGACCCACTTTCCCAAGATGCAATCCGACAGAAGCGGATTATGCGGGGTTAACCACATGAAGCTAATGCATGCTTCATTCATTAAACTTGATCAAGGCTGCTTCAACGGTCTGAACCTGGAAAACATCGAGATCGGGTGTGCTGCCAAGGACGCCAGACGTGTTAGAGGGTTGTGCTGTCGCAGGCTTCTCGATGATCTAGGGTGTTCTTCGGACTTGGTCCAGCCGATTCTCATTTTCGACGGTGCATCTTGCTTGCCCGGGAGCCGAAGAGGTTGCAGGTTTTTTGTTGGCATTGGCGCGGGATGCGCCGTTCGTGCCCTACCATCCCATGGCATCTGCGAGATGTTGGCAACATCTGCTGCCTGGAGGAGACGCTTCTGTGCCTGGAG